GAACTGCGCCCCTTGGAGGTTGTGTAACACTTCTTTTATTTTTGGTAGCACAAACTTGTCTTGTTCATATTGGTAATTGATCTCACGTAAGTCTAGACAGGTCCTGACTTTTTTGAGTAGACCTGTTTGGTCATGTTCAGCTGTTGATAACAACGGTAGATTCACCGTTGTTGGCTTGTCGCGTTTGTATATGTGGTCATCGTGAAACGATCGTTGCGCACTCTCATCCGTTTGTGGAATGTAATTGTGCGGAAAAAAGTTGACTTTAGCGTGCCTCATTTGTCTGACGTTGATTTCATTTGCAGGTACTGTGACTGTAGAGCCTGGTAGGTTGCAGTGGACGTCAGGAGGTATATTCGCGTTGGTGTCCAGGAGGTCTGTAAGTGACTCTCTAAAACCTTCTTGTTCATGCTCTGGGTCCTCTTCATGTGGTGTGAGGAGCGATTCCCATTTTGCATCTGTTGGTATAAGTGGATTGATTAAATCCGCTATATATATACCTATGTATGGTAGAATTTCGATACGTAGAAGTATCAGTGTTTTCTTTTCAGGCAAGTCCAATACTTCAAAACACTGAGAGGTCTTTCTGCCTCCGTAGTTATTGTTACAAACTTCTGCTGATCCAGTGCGTTGTATTCTTGCATCTGTTTGTGCTAGTTGTATGTAGCCCGGTTGCGCTCTAACAGAAAGATATAGTTATGATGCTACACTTTTGTCCATACATGAGCTTTGTGCGCCAGAGTCTACTAGTGCATTGTATGTGTTATCATTTATTTTAATGTCAATATGTAACCGTTGGTCTCGTGGTGCAGGAAGTAACGATAAAGGTTGATAATTTATATCATTTGCATTTATCAACAACGTTTCTTCATCTGTAAATACATTGAGTCTGTCAGCCAGGTCAATCATGTTTGCTTCCGCCCACCAGTGATTTCAGTGTTCATCACCTTCAGTGATGTCTTCCACCTTGCCAGATGTGATAGACAGTCTTGCTATCTGCACATCTTTCTTGGCTTGTTGCGCAGCCTTCTTAGCTTGATTTGCTTTCTTCTCAGGACATTCGCTGTACCGATGTGGGGATGGCGATTCGTGACAGCAGGGTCATGCACGCTCTTCACGTGCTCCGTTCTTTTTCTGTGTCTGCCCCCCTTGCTTGTGCTGGTTGTGCGTACCACTGTCTGTCTTGTGACGTTTGTTAGCGTTCATATAGTTATCCTCCACCTGCATGTTCACCTGCGTATTGTTGCGTTTATCTGCATTGTTTGCAGCTCGCGCCTGATCCCTCAACATACGCTCAGCCTGTGTTACTGACGCTATTCGTATGTGTGTCTCCGTCATAGTATGAAACTTGGTATGTTCGATGTCAGACAAGTGTCCTTCACTTCCATCAGGTTGCTTGTCTCCTTTGATTAGGATGTCCACTACTGATTGTAGTCCATAGTACTTCAGTGCTAAGTACCTTTGTACCTTGAGGATTTGTAAGTGTATGGGTTCTTTGTCTGAGTTGCGATAACGCTCCTCTAACATTGCCATTGTCTTGTGCACACGCTCGGTGCGCACTTCAACATTCATCTTCGTATTCTGCATGTCATTGATAAACTTCTCTAACATATAGTCTACTGGGTGCGATCTGAGTCGATCAATAATGATTCTATTGAACTGCTCGGGATCAGTGAAGTGCCTGGTTGTTTGTGTCTCAGAGTCTCTTATGTTATTGAGAACTGCTTTGGTTTTCTCCGTAGCGTTAGTAGAGTCTAATAGTCTTCTCACTAGTGCTGGATAATGACACAATGGCATTGACGTAGCTAAGAATAGATCACTATATTGTGTAGTGAACTCTGTGATATCCTAACAATTATCTAATCTAAAGAGACTTTCCTTAGGCATTGTTAGAGTACAATGTAGTAGACTTTAAATAAAGTGCAAATGTATGTATTTATTTCTGACCTCACCTTTGGTTTTATACCTAAGGTGTTTGTGCTACTGTTCAGCCGCTTGGGCTGGTCAGGGTAAAAACTCAAATGGTCAGTATGAGAAGCCTTATACTGAACACCTTAACACTTCGATGCTTTTCTATTTCAACTTCTTTGCAACTAAATCTCATGCTGATCACATGATGCCTTTCCGCATAGGTTGTGACTCACATAGAACCACAGCAATTATTAATATGTTGTGGTTGTCAGACTTAATTCACTCTCGGGCATCGGTTGAGAAACTAAATATGCTCTCGAAAGTCGGTTAAGTAATAACTCAATTCTTGAGAGTAATTTGAGCAACTTGATTAGCTCTCGGGAGTGAGCTAACTCTGATGACTTAGCTCTCGGGAGTGATCTAATTCTGATGACCTCCATAAATCAAAGATGGGTTCTTGCTGTAAAATCTGGCCTGAGACCTGTAGTCTCTCAGGCATTTTAGGAAACTCTGAAGTTTTGAGTATTTCTTAAGAGATGGTTCATTTATCTGGTCGCCTAACCGATAACACATGAGCTATAGCTCACTAATGTACAGACTGATTTGGATAAGCTTGTCTTCTTCATCATCACCGCAATCGTTGATCGCTTGTTCATATCGTCGTCTGAGCTCCACATCCACCGGTGGCATGCGACGCTCTGGCTGTTGGTCATGTATGCCAACCCTCATTTTATGTAGAGTCGGTATGGCCATCGGTGCAGTTCGTTCCAATATGGATACAAACCGACTCACCAAAACATAGTTGCCTTGACAGATGTTCTTGTCTATTTCTAGACGCATTGCTGAGGCTGCGATGGGTACCCCGCCGGTGTAGGCTGGCCCGAGCTACTGCCTGGGCTTGCCTCCCCCATTGAGTTGGCTCCCACGTCACCCGTGCCTTCACTACCCTCCCCTCCATCGTATACACTTTTTCTGGTTGCTGTTGGCATTTTCAGAAGTCTGTGTGTATGTGTGGGTGGTCGTGAATTATTAATGAAGACTAAGGTTATCTTGTGCGAAAGTGCACGCTTCACCACCCGTCTTTAGTAATAATACTTAAAAACAAATAAAAATTGTATTTTTTACTTACTGTTATAGTGTTGTTGATTCGCTGCACTTCCGCTGGAAGTGTTTACCGTGCTGTATGGCCCGGTAGCTTGTTGATTGATTCCTTGTATTTATGAGGGAGAAAAACGGTGTTTAATAATAAAGCTTATTCCGTCATGTGTGACGTCACTTGTGCTTATTCTGTCTCTCATGTGATTTTAATGAGATGTTCGGTCCTAGTGACGTTACTCTGGAAGTTCGGTCCTGTACCGAACTGTGTGTGTACCGAACTGTGTCCTGTACCGAACCATGTTCTGTACCAAACTATATTCTGTACCAAACCGTGTCCTGTACAGAACTGTGCTCTGTACCGAACTGTGTGTGTACCAAATTGTGTGTGTACCGCGCTATATCTTGTACCTAACTGTGTCCTGTACCGAACTGTGTCTTGTACTGGACTGTGTCCTGTGCCAACCTTATTTGTATGCTTGGTTAATCTTCCTACAGTGAAGCAATGTCGTACACGATGTATTTGTCTGTGTTAACTGAATCGTTTGAGACTGCTCGTGTTGATCGATTTGGTTTGTGATCTGCTTATTGCAATTTGATGAAATGTTCTGAACTTGTCAATGCCTTTCTGCTGTTCTTTGTATGTTGTATACTCAGTCAGAATAATGCTCGTTCTTGTAATTGTTATTGTGGGTTGGATTGTCCCTTATAACTCTTTTGTTGTGGTTTGGATTGTCCCTTATTACTTTGTGTGTGTTGGTTGATGACTATGTGTTATTCCCAATTTGTTAGGTGATTTCTTGAATCTGATTTATCACCTATACACCAGAATGTTGTCGTTTTGTAGGTTATATTACCGCTAGCCTATCTGTGCGTGAGTATTGCTCTGTGTGTCTTATACCTATTGTTTGGTAATTGACTGGTGGATATGGCTATAGAGATGTGATTTATCTGAGTGATTTGTGTCTTATACCTATTGTTTGGTAATTGACTGGTGGAGATGGCTATAGAGATGTGATTTATCTGAGTAATTTCTTCGGGTGATTAGTCCGAAGTGACCATGGGAAACTGATTCCCGGAGCCTTTGTTTATTGTGTGTGGTCTGTGTGTGTAGTGTTACTACCCTTTCTTAATGCAAGTGTTTCTTGAGTGTGAATCCTATGCTGATGTGCACGTGTTTATTGGTGTGATGTCAATGTCACTAGTGATTTGTCTCGATTTGACTTCTCCCTGCCTATTTCGATTGATATTGGTAGCTGTTTGTACCCAATCAAGTCTTGGTTGCTTTGTGTATGCCTTGTCTGGTGTGGAGAAGCTCATGTGTTTTTGCATTCTTAACACTATGTGTGTGTTCACTTCTGAAGATTTAACTAACCTGCGTGCCTTACGATCTATGAATTGACGCTGTTGTTATTTTGTGATTGCCTTTTCTCGGGTAATATTTGTGAAGTTAATTATACAGCCACTGTCTTGTGCTTCTTGTGGGTGAATTGCCCAGCACCTTTAAGACTCTCGTGACTTGTCTGTTATCACCTTTGTTAGATCTGATTTGTCTGTCACTCGTGATGCTTAACTTGTCTTTAAGTGATTTGTAATGCCTAATTGCAGAAATGTTTAAGCATGTTCCTATTAAGTTTTGCACCGTCCTTGGTTGTTAGCAAGCGTGTTGAACCTTAATACTTTTTTATTTAGATGGACGTATCCTTCTTAAGCGAATTGGCCTAAGTAAATTGAATTTACATCCCCTTGATTGATCTTCTGTGTACTATTGCTTATTGTACTGAACAGTCTAAACCTCTAATTGAGAATTTTTTTTTGGGCTTATGACCTGTACTAGTTATTGTTTCTTATGCATGGGTGTGCATTCTTCTAACATTAATTCATTGCTTGTTCTGGTTACTATTTAGTATTGCCTAATGTGTATGTTATGGTGTGTGTAACATGTGCATGTTGTGCAGGGGTCCTTGATCTCAAAGTAATTTCTTGTTCGAAAACTTAGAAACCCCCAACATTGAAGAATTAATCAATGTGACACTTCTTTTGTTTTTTCACGCACCTTACGTCACTAAACAGCCTGTCACACCCTGCAACGTGTTCAGCTTATTTCTGAACACGTTTTCTTTACCTGGGTTGTTGTCCCAAGTATCTCCTTCTTCTTAAGTCTTCCCTAGTCTACCAAGCTGTTCTTTCTCTCCGGCTGTGACCCTTCTTTCTTCTTAGGTCCTTCCTTCCCCGGTTTCTTCTCAACAAAGCTTGTGTTTGGTGCTAGGTTGTTATTCGTGACAGAAAATTATTCTATCTGTCCTACTACACGTCGTTCAATATATGAGGATTCGTGTGGACTTATTCTACGTAAGTATATTGTAAAAAATGTAGAGTATGGAGAGTAGCTGAAAGGTACGAGACCATAGGATACCCTTCTTTCTTCTTAGGTCCTTCCTTCCCCGGTTTCTTCTCAACAAAGCTTGTGTTTGGTGCTAGGTTGTTATTCGTGACAGAAAATTATTCTATCTGTCCTACTACACGTCGTTCAATATATGAGGATTCGTGTTGACTTATTCTACGTAAGTATATTGTAAAAAATGTAGAGTATGGAGAGTAGCTGAAAGGTACGAGACCATAGGATACAATAGACCTCTTCTCAGGTACGGTTATCTCAGCTAGGAAAAGTCCCAAGTCTGAGAGAACGGAACTGAGTCTTTATTTGTGTTTTCACTAGATTCAGATTTACTTGAGTGTTTCTCTCACACGCGGGAGTCCCGGTTTAGCTTACCGGTTCTACCGCTAATATCTCTGACGACTCTAATATCAGAAATATTCCAATCCTAATTCCAAAACTCAGTATTTGATGATTCTGCGGTTTGGGATTTGGATTGGCTTTTTGATAGTCTGGTCCACAGATGCTACAAATGTGTACGTGTATATTCATTGGGAGGGACTCGGTTGGTGCATGTGTACCTACCTTCCATTTTGACTAAACGTTTGTTTGTTTATCTAACTTTATATACCTCGCGAACAAACAACCCCGATGACGATATAAAGTATAAGCCTATTAAAGCTTGGCACCCCCTCAGCTGATGCCACTTTTTTATATACTTTAAAGCTATGGCCGAAAGTGTGTGTAACAACTTCTTCTTACAACTTTGGCTTTAATTTACTTTGTTGTACTATGTTTATACTAATGACCTACAAGCCTACGCATGTGTCGGAATACAGTAAGTATATTGGAAGCATTTGTATTCACAAGGTATGTGGTATTGTCTAACCCTGAAACCCTGCAAGTATACGAGTCAAACAGTACTCAGGCTATGTGAGCTATGAAAAAAGAATAGCTATCATAACAAAGTGAATATTATTGAGAAACTTGCATTTGTGTAAATAAGATAAAAACTCAGCAATATATTCTCAACTTCTAGTTCAATGTGGACTTTTTAAATGTGTTAGTGTATATTCATTGGGAGGGACTCGGTTGGTGCATGTGTACCTACCTTCCATATTGACTGACCGTTTTGTTTGTTTATCTAGCTTTGTATACCTTGCGAACAAACAAGCCCGATGACGGTATCACCCTCTCAGCTGATGCCACATTTTTTTTATACTTTAAA